CATTCCCACTGGGTTTAGTGATGCTCCCTCCCCTCTAGGTCACACATCTCCACTTCCCCAAAGGGGATTACAAGATCATACAGTTATTAGCATCTACTTTGTGCTAGGCCTTTGTGCCTGTGGAAAGGGTGACCTGTGAAAAGATAGACACAAATCACCAATATGGAACACACAGCGTTAAGAGTTATGTAGGATGTGTGTTGGGATGGAAGGATTTGGGAAGCTGTGAGAGGGTATGGGGGCAGGGAGAGCTTGGACTGGTGTGCAGCCCGAGTCCTGGGAGAGAGCCCTTTCTTCTCATTCAGACAAATCCCCCATCCCTCTGTGTCTTTGTGGCTCACCTGTCCCTGGGGTTTGGCCTCGAAGGGGCTGTGAGATGGGGTCAGCCCTGAGCTTTACAGATTGCAGGCAGGAGTAGGATTTGGAACACGGCTAGTAAGGAGGAGTAGGGGTGTGGAGGAGCTTGATCTTCTCTGGGGCTCCCTGAGATGAGCCTCAGGCTTTGTAGTTAAACAGATGTAGGAAATTTGGCTCCAGCTAGAGCCCCTCAGCAGGGCACCAGGCCGGTGTCTTGGGTTTGTCCTCCTCCGACCACAGGCATCTGATCTGAACCCCACTTATGCCTTAGATTCTAGGGGCCAGGTCTGGGCTTTTGGGAGGGCTGTTGAACAGCCTGGAGGGCTCTGGGGGGTGGGGAGAGGTAAACACATACATACTCCTCTCCGTGGAGTCTCATACTGTCTGTAGAGGCCATATAAGACCCCAGTGTCCCTCTATACAGGCATGTTTCCACAGTAACTTCATAGAACTGACCCCCTCACACTCTGCAAAGGGCCCTCTCCTCCACCCAGCCTATGGCCTTCAGTGGGGACAGGGACCACATCTGGCAGCTGAGTGGAGCCCCGGGGAGAGCTTCTGAGATAGATTGGAATGCTGAGCCCCACCCCAATCCCCTGTAGGCTGTGGACTCCAGCCTGGAGGCCTGGGTCAGGGATGAGGGGCAGGGCGGTGGGTGGAGATGGCCCAGAACATGCAGGGGGTGTGCTTGTGGTGGATGGCTCTGGAGCCCCGGCTCTGTGTGTGGCCCTGGGAAGCTCTTACTTGCCTGCCCCACACCTTGAGCCTCAGCTAGGACAAGAACAGGACTCAACGACCCCAGATGCCGCCAGGGAACCTCCACATAGTCTGTTTGAACCCCTCTGTTTACAAATGGATCTGGCAGTGTGGACGTTGGGAGGACAGAGAATGAGACCCTGGAAGTCTGGAGATGGAGTGACAGCAGTCGGCTATGAGCTGGTCCCTCGGGGGTTTTCTTCTGCTTTGTAGCTCAGTTTAATCCTGGGCCTTGCTCCCATGGGGCCCAGACCTTCCCCAGGGCTTTCCCCTGGCTTGTGGTTTGGCCCCCTTCTGAGTCTCCCTTGTCAATGCTCTATCAGCTGCTTATCACACTTTGCAGAATGAAGCCTAGCTCCTGAGCTAGCCACCAGAGTGTGTCCCCTGACCATACCTCCTGCTCTCCCTTCTTCAACCCTCTTGCCCCTTAAAGCTACAGGTGTCTTAAAGGTTTCTAGAATGCACAATGCCTTTCTTCTATGCACCAGGCTTTTTGTAGAGGCTGGTACTCCTGCCTGGAATGCCCTTCCTTGCTTTGTTCTCTGGGTGAATGCAACCCCAAGTCACATCCTCCATGTAGTCTCCTGAGTGACACCAGCTCCCAGCCTAGCCTCTGCCTCCTGGCTTGAGCATCTCTGTCCAGAAACACTCTAGGACCAACTTTCCTCTTCTTCCTAGTGTCTGGGTACAAGGGCTCAAGATGGTTCTGAAGTCTGGGGATGTGAAGCTCTGACTGCTAGCTCGGTATTCAGTAATCGCTCCTGGTCCCTTCTCACTTACAGGATTTAAAAACAAACCTATATTATTTGCAGACAGCACCTTGGATGGTCAGAGCAGATGCAATCTGTGGTTTAACTCAAAGAAGCTCCTGTCTGTCCCCAAATAGCCCCTTTAACAGCCATCTCTTTGCTAGATCCACCACTAGGATTTGATTCTTTGGGGGCAGTGAGGTTATCCTGCATGAGTACCCAGTGAAAATGTACATATTTGGGGGTGGGGGGAGCCTCTTAAAGCAGGGCTGCCAAACCAGGACTCGAAGGCTACCCACTCACTCCTTTCTGTATCCCTGGCAGACATCACTAATCAGAGTTTTCATTCTTCTGAACTTTACTATAACTTTTGAGGTAGAGACTACCAATGAGTCAGATCCTGTTTAAGATTGGAAACCAATCTATTCTGAGTCTTTGGGGTACTAGGCCACTCAGTCTAGCTCCTTGTCTCATGGGGCAGCTCTAAGCTTCAGGCAGAGGACACCTACTTTAGGGAGACTTTCTAGCCTCACCCCCCTTGAGCTTCCTGACTTTGACTAAGACTGTGGGGCAATGATGGGGCATCAGAACAAGGCCCACCAAGGTCTACTGAAATCTGCCCAGCTGCCCATGAGTTGTGTGGCCTTGGAACTATCCCTTGCTGTCTCTTGGCCTCAGCTGCAGCATCTGTAATGAGGGCAATAAAAGCTGTTAATCCCCTGGACAGGAGGATTAGAGGAGGTCAAGAGGTGCAAAGCCCAGCACACAGTTGGTGCGCACTAAATGTGCAGGTGTCTTGACCCCTGCATACCCACCCTCTCCAGCCTAAAGCGACATCTTCCTTTGGTCGATTCACACCTGACCTCGTTTCCTGATACTGCCTTGGGCTCCTTCCCCTGTTCCTCTCCAGAAGGACATTACATTTACCCCTGCCTGTTCGCCTCTGATCTCCATTGCTCCCCGCCAGCCTGTGTATCCGTCGGGATTCAGCAGCTTGGAGGTCCATGAGGGGATTTAAGGACCATCCTCTGGCCAGAGAGATGGAAAGACTGAGGCTGAGGTTGAGGAGCTATGCAAGGCCGTCCAGCATCCCAGACTCTTGTTCTTCCTCCAAGAAGCTCTCTGTGATTTCTCGTCCCAGTGCCAACTTGGACCAGGATCAGGATGGACTTTTTGTGTCTTTCTACTAGATGAAAGCTCCTGGGTACAGAATCTGTCTCTCAGAGCAGTCTCTGCCCAGGACCTCTAGGCTTATGGTTTGTCTTATGCTGGTTTTTGTGACCTAAACTATCTGATTGTCTCCACTATGGAGTGGGGCATAGGCTGTGGGGTCAGAGGGATGGCCTCCCTCCTATCTTACTTCCATCTTGTACTAGCTGTGTAACCTCAGACTGCCTGGTTAAACCTCTCTGGGTCTCAGTAGTCCTACCTGTCACACAGGAATCATTCAGGTTAGCTAAAGGGGATGCAAAGAGGTGATGGGAATAACCAGAAAGGGTCCCCTGAGGCAAGAGACTTGAGATTTTTTTGAGGGGATGGTGACCGGTGTCTATACTGTGTGTCTCTGAGGTAGCTGTGCAGCTGTGAGTCACCTAACTTTGGGAGAGAATAAGTGTGGCCCTTCTGGCTTCCTGCCCCATGTCCGGTCCTTGTTTTGCTGTACAATGGTCAGGCCGAGACTGTAGGGTGGGCAGCTTAACCCCTTCAAGGCAGTGGGAACCTCTCTCAGCTCCTAGCTCTGAAAACCAGAAGTGACAGGGCTGCTCTGGGGCTCAGCTGCTCCTAGACTCCTTGGGGTCACTTGATGCCCTCCAGACTTGTGTCCATAGATGACTGGACTCAGGCCGGTTTGGGGAGAATCCAGTGACTTCCCTGCCCACATGAGGACAGCCAACTGTTCTGGGCTGTTATGGGACATTCTCCCACTCAGCTTCTACTCTGTGCTCTAAAGAAGCAAGAGTCCTACCAGCCTCCTGGATCTTCCAAGCTGCCTAGGTGTCGCTGTCACCTGTTATCAGTGTCCTGCCTGACCACTACACTTCGCCGAGGGCTGGGTAATGACCATGGGTCCCTGAAGGAGTTTGCAGCATGGGTGGCTGAGTGGATGGCCTCTTACTTCAGTCCTTCCTTTTATATACTGGGTACCTGACTCCTCTGACAGGGTCTAGGCTAGGGACTTGAGACTGTCCTTTGGGGTTTTAAATCTTTGTGACATTCACAGTCACCTACTACTCTGGGGTAGTAGGTAAATTCAGTTGTGTTTCCCCAAGCATCTGCCTCTAACTATGCACTATCCCCAGAGCCAAGCATGCACATCACATGTAACGACTATAAAGAAGAGAGTTTCTCCCACTTTACAGAGAAGAAGCCCAAGACCCTGAGAAACTACAGGTGCCAGAAAGGGCCTGGGCTGCAGAGGACAAGATCTGGGTTCAAATCTCCATCCTGGACCTTTTCCAAATCTCAGTTGCCTTCTCTGAGATACGAAGAGAGACTCTACCTACCTCCTGGAGCTGTGGTTAGTAAAATCAGGACCTGTTGTTCTAGAATCTTCTGCTTGTACCATCTCCATTTCTTATCACAGATTGAATAGAATTGCTTTCCCAGACATCTCAAAAAGTGGAGGTTTGGAAATCTTAAATAACTGTCCCAAGGCCACATGGAAGTGAGTGGAAGGCTGAGATCCGTGTTGGGGAGGGGAGAGGTGTTATACCACCTTCAAGCTAGGCTTTTGCCCCAGAGAGAGGAGCTCCTGCCTCCAGGCCTTCCAGGGACTTCCCTGAGCTGTAGGGCCACAGAAGCTCTTGCGCTCTAGACTCTGAGTATCTGAGTGGTGGGGAAGAAAGGGCGGACTGTCTTCCTGCCTGGGGGCTCCAGAGCACAAAGCAGGTCCTCATAGGTTTGGGCTGAGCCCTCCTCCCCCATCAACCCAGAGATGACCATTTGTGTCCTGACACCAACAATGGGTGCACCTTTCTCAGCCCTACTATGACCCTCAAGGAGACTGAGGCTGCCCATAGAGGGCTGTTGTCCCCTGGGGGTCCCACAGCTCCCATCTCTCATATGGGCAAGCTAGGACCCTCCCATCTTGGGTTCAACGGGGACAGGAATAGAAGGGGGCACTGGAGCCCCACTTACCGTGCCTGTGAGCTGAGGACTCTCTTCGCTCTATCAAACAGATCCAAGGCGGTGTGTGGTGTGGAGCTCCACTGACTGCTTCTGGAGGGAAGAGGGGAGCCACACCCAGCCTGGGAGGGAGGCTGGCCGCCACCCCTGCAGGTTTTCCAACTGGCCCTGGCCCACTTCCCCTCGGGATGGTTTCCTGTTATTGTTCCTTTGTGAGCTGCCTGCAGATAGGCCTCTGCCTGGTCAGCCTGCCCTCTAGGAGGCCTAGTGTTGGCTGGACCTGCCTGGGGTGCTCAACTCACACTCCAATTCCAGGTTTCATCTCTGGGGCTTTAGCTTAGTACTTGGCTGTGAGGGCCTCAGGCTTGTACCAGAGCATTTAACACTCCTGAATACACTGAAAGCAGATGTTATGACCCCCATTTTACAGTCCAGGAAGCTGAGGCTCAGTGGGTCTGAGGTATTTGTTTCCCAACTATAAAATAAAGAGCGAAGAACCAGGAATTCAGCTGTATTAGCCTCCCCTCAGAGCTAGGTGTCCATGGTGCCTCTGTGGTGTGGTGGGGCAAAGAGGGGGCTGCGGAGGTCTCAGGGGTGGAGTGGCTGGGAGATGGGAGCAGATAGTCATTTTCAGCACTAAGGTGCCAGTTGGCTTCTCCCTGGCAGGGTGGGTGTGGATTTCAGCTCTGAGATACTGGCCTGGGTCGGAGGGGACCACATGGATTTGGAAATATAAGATAAAGTCAAGTGACCTTGCTCTGCTTCTGATGTAACTGTGGGCCAGTCCTATTTCCCAAGGCCTCAGTTTCCTCGTCTGTAAAATGGGAGCAATCATAGTCTTGAGATAAGCAATAATGAGAGGAGCTTGGAAGACAGTGAAGCAAAGAATCAAGAAGTAGAGGAGACAGAGATAAGATTCTGATCATCATGAGAGTCTCAACAAGCTGGTAAGAACCTCAGGTGCCTGGGTACCACCCTAGACTAACTGACTTGGAATTCACAGGACAAGCCCTGGGAATGTATCTTTTGGCAAGTTGCCCAGATTTTTCCATGGGTGAAAGCTTGGGAAGTCCCCAACTTGTCCTATTATTCTGTGAAGCAAACAAGGATCCTGGGAGGCCAGGTCCTGCTCAGGAGTCAGTGATGGATTGGGGAAAGACACCTAAATGGAGACATGGGGTTGATAAATGGAGATAGCTGATATCCAAAGGGAGTTTAGTTGGTGCTGGGACCATGGGAGAGGACCAGTTTGCCGGAGAGAGGTCTCATCTACTGACATTTGTGGCTTTGTTACAGGAGGGTTCAGTAATAAAGGGGCCACAGAAGCCAATGAGGCCAGTAGGGTGGTTAGCTGGGTCAACCTGGGTAAGGCTGCCACTGGGTGATTGCCAGCCACTGGATTTGAAAGATGAGGTCCTGGGCTTGACCATAGCAGGCTAAACAAGAAGTAAACAACACGGATCAGAGGGGCTAGTGGAGGGGATAAGGAAGCTGAGTCCATGTGGCCAGTCACTTCCTCTTGGTCCTCAATGAATTAAAGGAGAGGCTTAGGGGATTTAAGCTTTGGTGGAATGCTTGCGTGCTGAGGCAGTGTAAAGACAGATGAATGGAGGAAAAGGGCAACCTGCCAGCGGGGGAGCTGTCCCTGGGGCAGCTCTGAAAGGGATCCAGCATCTTTAATCACTGTATGTGGAATGAGCAAACAACAGCTCCTCCTTTCCCTCTCTGCCCTCAGGGTGGGCTGGCCCAGATCAACCTGCTCTCTGCAGGCACCCCTGGCTGCCTGCCTTCCTGATCTGTGAGCTCATGGGATGGCCTCCCACTGGGCATCACTTTCCCTTGGATCTCATACTCGGCGCTGACAGGTAGTCAGAGCCAGGGACCATCCTGCCACTGTCAACTCATTCTGCCCTGACCCTCATTCCTGTCATCTGTAAACAACAGAAGGGCCAAACCCATGTGCCCTGAGCTCTAAGGATATTGGTGGAGAGCTCCATAGCAGGGGTAGTTCAGACCCCAAGAGGGCAGGCTAGTGCCCCCCAACCCCCCTCCCCCGAGGGTTTCATCCTTGCCCTCAGACACTACCCCACCCCTGCTCCAAGCTGCTAGGAGGCCAAGGAGGTAACAAGAGGGCGCAAGGGCAGGAAGTGTCACTGGGGACACAGCCAAGGGACAAGAGAACAAGGGACGGGGAGGCAGGAAACGGGATGATCTGTGGGAGCAGATTAGCAGCAAACTGGAGGTGGAAAGGGGCGTGAGGGTGGGATGTGAGAACCAGGCCAGGACTCCCACCTAACCTCTACCAAGGGGAAGGTTGGTCAGAGCTGGAGCTTGCCCTGTGTAAGGAGCTACAGGCTGAGGGCCTTGCAGACCTTGCAGATGGGGGTTCAGATCCTACCTGTGTGGGAGGCAGTGATTTGCTCCTTTGAGCCCCTCCCCTCCCTCACCTGTGAAATCTGACCTTCAGGTCATACTTTTCAGGAGGCTCAAGGGAACAGTGGAAATCAATAGCAGTGAGGATACAGGGTGGCTGGAGATCCTATAGTAGCAGAAGCCACAGTGAACATGTGCTTCTTAAGGGTATGATCCTTAAGCCGCTTGCCGTGGAGTCACTTGGGTGGGTGGAGGGTTTGGGAATGCAGATTCCTGGGCCTCATCTGAGGTGGGTGGAGGCAGGATAACTGGAGATGGAACCCTGAGATCTTCAGGTTGGCAGTCCTCCAGGCCCTGTGCTTGAACACTCACACTGTGTGCTGCTAGTGCATGGAGCTCTTCATTCGGCCTTTAGGACAAGCCTAGGGCTTGATAGTGGTGGTAGCTGCCAACCTTGTTATATAGACGGAAAAACAGGCCAGGAGTTAAGAGCTGTCTAAGATCTGAAAGCTTATCATTGGTGCAACGCCAATTCTGAATCAGGACTCTGTCTCCACAAACAGCTCCTTACCCACCAGGCTTCCCTGCCTGCTACAGTATGTCTGTAGACCTGTGTCGAATCACAGCCAAAAGATTGCCTGTCAAACAGAAGTTCCCTTTCCTTTATCCCCACAGCACAGAACTCCCAACTTTAGGGCAAGAAGGTGATGGCCTTGTCTTCACTAGAGGTGTTTGCTGTAAAGCCACGTGGTCTCCACCTTGGGATCTGCCCAGCTGTTCCACCTCCTGTGCTCCTTTCTTCCTTTGTTTGCAGAGCCCCTCAACCTTCCCGTCTAGTGAGTGTCACCTTCTCCGTACCAGCGTTAGTGGTGCACATCACTCATCAGCTCATCTCCCTTCTCTGGCTTGCGTGTGTTTCATTTATGTGCCTGTCCTAGTGTGGGGCCCAGAATGGGCCTGAGTGTGGACCTGCAACTGTGCACTGTGGAGGGGTATCTGCAGTGTCTCCAGGGACGGCATGTGTGTTCTATGCTCTCCTCTGTCTATGCAGCACCCGGCAAAGGGGCTCACAGCACCCTGCCACATGCCCTCCCTGACTATGGATGCTTTGCTGTGGCTAGAGTCCATCTTCCCTTCTTGATTTTCCTCTTCTCCCCTCCCTTCCCCTCCCTTCCCCTCCCCTTCCCTCCTCTCCTCTTCCATTGTCTTCTCTCCTCCCCTCCCCTCTTCTTCCCTCCTCCCTTTTCCTTGTCCTTCTTCGTGAGTCTTCCTGAACC